TGGCACCTTAGCCACTTGAGCCACAGGTGCTGAGCTGTTTTGTTTTATTTTATTTTATTTTGTTTATTTATTTTTGAGACAGAGTGTCATTATGTTGCCTTCAGTAGAGTGCTATGGCATCACAGCTCACAGCAACCTCAAACTCTTTGGCTTAAGTGGTTCTCTTGCCTCAGCGTCCCAAATAGCTGGGACTATAGGCACCTGCCACGATGCCTGGCTATTTTTTTGTTGTAATTGTCATTGTTGTTTGGCAGGCCCAGGCTGGGTTTGAACCTGCCAACTCTGGTGTACGTGGCTAGCACCCTAGCTGCCAAGCTACAGGCGCCAAGCTGATGTGATGTGATGTGATGTGATGTGTTGTGTTATGTTATGACAGAGTCTCATACTGTTGCCCTGGTTAGAGTGCTGTAACGTCATAGTTCACAACGACCTCAAACTCCCGGGCTCAGGCTGTCCTCCTGCCCTATCCTCCCATGTAGCTGGCACTATAGGCCTGCCACCAAACTTGGCTGGGTTTTCTGGGGTTTTTTTGAGACAAAGCCTCAAGCTGTCGCCCTGGGTAGAGTGCCATAGCATCACAGCTCATAGCAACCTCCAACGCCTGAGCTCAAGCGATTCTCCTGCCTCCACCTCCCAAGTAGCTGGGACTACAGGCACCTGCCACAATGCCAGGCTATTTTTTGGTTGCAGCCGTCATTATTGTTTGGTGGGCCCAGGCTGGATTTGAACCTTCCAGCTCAGGTGTATGTGGCTGGCGCCTTAGCTGCTTGAGCCACAGGCACTCAGCCTGGTTTTTCTGTTTTTAGAGATGGGGTCTCCCTCTTGCCCAGGCTGGTCTTGAACACCTGTGCTCAAGCAACCTACCTGCCTCAGGCTCCCAGAGTGCTGGGATTACAGATGTGAGCCACTGTGTCTGGCCCAACACCCAAATTTTAAATAGAACAAATTATCATCTGCTATTTCTGAACCAAATCTAGCCAGTTGTGTATTGTCACACATCTTGGGCTCTTTGTTTTTTTCCACTTTGATGCTTGTATGGCAGTGACACTGGGATGGATCTCAGTCTCCTTGGGTTGATGTTCTGGGTGGTATTTCTCATTGTTTATTTCATTCTCTTGTAATTTTGAATCTTTAAGATAAAATGTTGACATGTTTTAGCAACATACTATTTAAAATGAGTGGAGTTCAGGTGGCACCTAGTGTGAATATAAAGTGTTGTGTGAGTTGGTGGGGCAGCTGCAGCCCCACCAGGCATCTAGAGCAGATTGTGCATTAATAGCATCTGGTTTTCTTCTTTCCCAAAAATGTTACTACAATGAAAATTAATCTGCCAATGCAGTTTTCTCAAAAACCTCTTACTCTCTCCAAGAAAAGAACATATGTTTCCTAAAGGGAAGACCTAAAATAAATATATGTATCAGTTTTCCCTTGATATTCTATTCATCTTGGTTTGCACTGAAGCGTTTAACAATTTGGAATATAAAATTCTACAGATATTTGAATATACATCAGGGGCAAAAAGTGGAATGGTGCATAATTTCTGTTGGGGGCAGCTGTATTCAACTTCTCATGCTGGGTTACTCTCACAACTATTTAACCCCATGCTTAACCAGTTGTGAATATTGAAGACAATGCCTGACCCACATAGGGAAGTGAAATTTTAAAATACCCTGACTGGCCAGGGCATGGGTCATGCACTGTCACCCACTAACCAGCAGTCAAGGCTGGGACCCAGTACCATGTGAAACCAGGTTTTCCTCTCTGAGTTAATGGCTCCTCTTTCCCCCTGGACAGGGATGGGATCCCGCCGTATAGGATCCGCAAGCAGCACCGCAGGGAGATGCAGGAAAGTGTGCAGGTCAACGGGAGGGTGCCTCTCCCTCATATCCCTGTAAGTACTGGCTCTGCCACCTCACACCTGTGCCCTTCCACCCCCAGGTACCTGGCTGACCTGCCATACGATTTAAGCCACAGTGGCCCTAGATAATGGGAAAGTCACCTGCCTACTTCCCATGAGCTCAGCACACGCCGGGTATACACATGTGATCTAAGTGACATTTGCACATGCTTGTCCCCTGCAGGCTGCAAGGGGTAGAGTGGTAGGTGACAGCTCAATCCCACGGTCAGTTTAAAAGAGCCCCAGGGCCTACAGAGGACAATGTGGCCAGTACCCTCCGTAAGTGGCAGGAAAGATCCTCTGCACAGTGCCCACCACATGGTCTCTGTCATTGCTGTGACGGAGTAGCTCAGAGATTCTGCATCTGCCTAACCCCGTGGCTCTGGCAAAAAGCCTGAGGGCATCTCTGTGCTCTCAGCCCATGTTACTGTAAATGCTACTTTGGTCAAGATGAAGTTTGAGGCCAGGCACTGTGGCTTGTGCCTGTATTCCTAGCACTCTGGGAGGCTGAGGCAGGTGAATTGCTTGAGTTCAAGAGTTTGAGACCAGCCTAAGCAAGGGTGAGACCTGTCTATACTAAAAATAGAAAAAAAAAAAAATCTAGCCAGGCGTAGTGGTGGGTGCCTATAGTCCCAGCCTTTTGACTGAGGCAAGAGGATTGCTCAAGCTAAAATACTTGAGGTTTCTGTGTGCTATGATGAGGTCATGCCACTCTAGGTTAGGTGACTGAGACTCTTTCCAAAAAATGGAAAAAAGGCCAGTGCAGTAATTCATGCCTGTAATCCTAGCACTCTGGGAGGCTAGGGTGGGTGGACTGCCTGAGCTCACGGGTTCGAGACCAGCCTGAGCCAGAGTGAGAATTGTCTCTAAAAAAAAAAATAAGCTGGCTCGGCGCCTATAGCTCAACCGGCTAAGGCGCCAGCCACGTACACCTAAGGTGGCGGGTTCAAATCCCCAGCCCGGACCCGCCAAACAACAATGATGGCTACAACCAAAAAATAGCCGGGCGTTGTGGCGGGCGCCTGTGGTCCCAGCTACTTGGGAGGCAGAGGCAGGAGACTCGCTTGAGCCCAGGAGTTGGAGGTTGCTGTGAGCTGTAATGCCATGGCACTCTGCCCAGGGGGACAGCTTGAGGCTCTGTCTCAAAAAAAAAAAAAAATAAGCTGGGAGTTTTGGTAGGTGCCTGTACTCCCACCTACTCAGAAGGGTGAGGCAAGAGAATTGCTTAAGCCCAAGAGTTTGAGGTTGCTGTGAGCTGTGACACCACAGCATTCCACTGAGGGCAGCAAAGTGAGACTCTATCTCAAAAAAAGAAAAAAGAAAAAATAGCTAGGTGTTGTGGTGGGTACCTATAGTCACAAGCTACTTGAGAGGTGGAGGCAAGAGAATCACTTGAGCCTAAGAGTTTGAGGTTGCTGTGAGCTATGACACCATGGTGCTCTACCAGGGGCTGCAAAGTGAGACTCTGTCTCAAAACAAAACAAACAGAAAAACCAGAATAAACAATTGAATTTAAGGTATTGGCCTTTTTGTGGCTGAGCAATGGCAAGCCCCACAGAACATCTTCACTTAAAGCTACCTCAGTTTCATCTTTCAAATCATGGTTTCCCTAATTACAGCCCTGGGCAGCTTTGCTGGGCTATAGGTCATAGAGCCAGCTTGGGGCAGAGCCAGGCACAGCCTGTCCCTTGTTGACCAATGAATATAGCTATTAGCTCCCCTTATTTATTTATTTATTTATTTATTTTGAGACAAGAGTCTCACTGTATTGCTCTTGGTAGAATACTGTGGCATCACAGCTCGCAGCAACCTCCAACTCTTGGGCTTAAGTGATTCTCTTGCCTCAGTCTCCCAAGTAGCTGGGACTACAGGCGCCCGCCACAACATCTGGCTGTTTTTTTGCTGCAGTTGTCATTGTTGCTCAGCAGACCCAGGCTGTGTTTGAACCCACCATCCTAGGTGTATATGGCTGGCACCCTTGCTGACTGAGCTGTGGATGCCACCAGCAACTTTTTTTTGAGACAGAATTCAAGGTGTTGCCCTGAGTAGAGTGCCATGGTATCATCATAGCTCACAACAACCTCCAGCTTCTGGGCTCAAGTGATCCTCTTGCCTAAGTTTTTTCTATTTTTACTAGAGACGGGGCTCTCACTCTTGCTCAACCTGGTCTCAAACTTGTGAGCTCAAGCAATTCACCCACCTCCACCTCCTAGAATGCTAGGATTACAGGTGTGAGCCACTGTGCTCCAGCCTCTGCAGACTTTTATTTCCAAATCAGGGAGTGATTGTTTATAGTTGAGAAGAAAGGTGGTTGGTTCTTACTTATGAAGAGATGATATTCCAGCATTTTGTTGCCTCCCAGCCAACCTTTAGGACAGACTTGGACTAAACTAGGCATAGATGGCGGCTGCTTGTCAGAAAGAGATCAATCCTGTAGGTACCTGTGCAGCCACATGATGTTCACCGGTGTGCAGCTGTGTGTGTGTGAGCCTGTGTGTGGTGTGTGTGCACGAGTGCCATGTTTGGGCTGGGGCCCTGCCTGCCAGCTGTGTGGCTCTTGCCTGGCACTGCCTGATGCCATTTGGGGGAACTTGAACATGAAGGAGAGGCTGAGGAACTGATTCAGACCAAGACCTAAGAGCCAGGGCTGGCAGAGTTGAACAGGCCTGCATCAGAGAAAGTTTGCACAGTTTCATGCACAGGAAACACCAGCAGGCAAGGGTGGTTGGATGTCAGCGGGCAGCCCACTATCAGGTGCTGGGGAAGACTTTCTTTGTGGTGTACCTGCAACTTTCTGTAAGTTTGGAGCAGAAAATAAAAATGTTTCAACTTAATAGATAAGTTGGACAGACTATTCAGAGAACCTAAAGGCAGTCAGTAAGCCTGAGTATACAGCAGGGCAACTTCTCAGGATTTGGCATAGAGAGAAGAGCAGAGTGGTGACCAGAGTCCAATGGTATGGCTTGAGAATGTTCTGGAAGGTCACACTGCCAATTCAGTGTGACAAAGCCATGGGAGGCAGTGGACACACCATATGTACAGCCCCTCCTGGAGGCTCTGGGCTGTAGGGTGTAGATGGCATATGAGGCTCAGCTGGGGGCATTATGTCTCTTTAGTCTCATCTCTTCATGTGAACCCCTGATCTGAGACGTGAGGAAGCTGTCCAGGTGAGGTGACCAGCAGTTGGGGGTATGGCTGGCCACATACCGGGTTGGCCCCTCAAGGCAGCACCCAGTAACCTACACACAAGCACTATTGTTGTGGGCAACCTGCAGCAGAGGAGGGTGAGCCCAGGAGCTGCCTATACCGGCCACAGCTCTATGCCTTTACTCCCTCTGCTCTGTTTGCTTTCAGAGCTGTGTCTGGGACAGTCCAGGCAGAACTCCCATGTGGCATATGGGGCATAGGCAAGGGTGAGGGGCAGGTATCTGGGAGTATGGCCACAATTCAGCCTGTGCAAGCATTGGACACAGCCCCTCATGCTGTAATATCTGGTCCCAAGACCCCTGCAGTCAGGGTGGAGCCTCTTCTCTCCTCAAATTTTTTGTTAAGATAGAGTCTTACCCAGGCTGGAGTGCAGTGGCCTCTTTGAAGCTCACAACAACTCAAACTCCTGGGCTCCTACAAATCCTCCTGCTTCAGCCTCTTAGGTAACTGGGACTATAGGCACATGCTACAATTCCCAGCTAGTTTTTCTATTTTTAGTAGAGACAGGGTCTTGCTCTTGCCCAGGCTGGTCTTGAACTCCTGAGCTCAAGTGGTCCTGCCACCTCAGCCTCCCAGAGTGCTGGATTATAGGTGGGAGTCACCATGCCCATTCTTTTTTTAGATAGGGTCTCACTATATTGCCCTCGGTATAGTGCAGTGGCATCACGCCTCACAGCAACCTCAAACTCTTGGGCTTAAGGGATTCTCTTGCTTCTCAGCCTCCCAAGTAGCTTGGAACTTCAGGGGCCACAACACCCGGCTATTTTTTGGTTGTAGTTGTCATTGTTATTTTTAGCAGGCCTGGGCCAGGTTCAACCCTACCAGCCCTGGTATATGTGGCCAGTGCTCTAGCCACTGAGCTACGGGCACTGAGCCACTTTGGCCTTTTTTGTGAGACTCTGGGGGTGCTGCAGAATGTGCCTGCTGGAAATCTCACCGTGGGCTCCTTGTAGTCTTTTGCACATTGAACCTGTCTACAGCCCAGCCAAGGACAGTTTAGAAGCACTGTGGAGGGCGAAGTGTCCTGAATTTCCCCTGCTCAAGCCTCCAGCAGCCCCTCTGGCCAGTGTGGAATGAAGTTGACTCCACTGATGAGAAAGAGGGGAAGTAAACACTGACTTTAAAGTAAACTATGAGCTGGGCACAGTGCCTCACACCTGTAATCCTAACACTCTGGGAGGCCAAGGCGGGTAGATTGCCTGAGCTCAGGAGTTCAAGACCAGCCTGAGCAAGACCAGGACCCTGTCTCAAAAAACAAAACAAAACAAACAAACAAAGAAACTAGCCAGGGGTTATGGCTGGTGCCTATAGTCCCTGGGAAGCTGAGGCAAGAGGATCACTTGAGTCTAAGAGTTGGAGGTTGCTGTGAGCTACGATGCTACAGCACTCTATTGAGGGCAACAAATGAGACTCTGTCTCAAAAAAATAAAAAACAAATAAATAAAATAAACTGTGGATTTTGTATGCTGTTTCCTCACTTAAGAAGTGTTTGCATGGCTCGGCACTTATAGCTCAGCGGCTAGGGCACCAGACACATGCACTGGAGCTGCCAGGTTTGAACCCAGCTCAGGACTGCCAAAGAACAATGACAATTACAACAAAAAAAATAGCTGGACGTTGTCATGGGCACCTGTAGTGCTAGCTACTGGGAAGCTGAGGCAAAAGAATCACTTAAGCCTAAGAGGTTGAGGTTGCTGTGAGCTGTGATGCCACACACTATACTAAGGGCGACATAGTGCACCAAAAAAAAAATAATAATAAGTGTTAGCAAATAACCTCGAACCAGATGTGTCCCCAGCTAGAGTGGAGACTGGGGTGTGAGATGGCCCCTGCCTCACAGCTGTATCCCCTACAGCGCACCTACCGAGTGCCAAAGGAGATCCGCGTGGAGCCGCAAAAGTTTGCTGAGGAGCTCATCCACCGTTTGGAAGCTGTACAGCGCACTCGGGAAGCTGAGGAGAAGCTGGAAGAGCGGTTGAAGCGCGTGCGAATGGTGAGTGTCCCCTCCCAGGGTTTTCTTAGCGATCAGAAGTTCTGGCAAGCTCCGTACAATATCAGGCCCTGTGGGGCCTTCCTTGGCCAGGCCAGGACCTACTTGCTACCTTGCAAGGCCTCCAACGGTCCTTATATCCATCCAGGTCCCTCTCCACCCATGGGCTCCCACCAGGGCCTGCAATAGAAGGGTAGGTATGGACACCCTTGCCTATGGTCACTTCTGCAGCCATAGCAGGTAGTCAGCCCAGCTTCTTTGGCCTTGTGCAGCCAGTAGGAGCTTGGCGAGCCTATGTGGAGCAGGAAGGGTCTACGATGTACAAGAGTCCTTTTCACATGCCTTTAGGAGGGCACAGTGCCTGAGACATTGATCCTGGACTCTGCTGGCTCAGTGCTGTGATATTGCCCCATCTCTTTCATGGAGCACTAGTCCAGTGAGGCCACTCTGAGCATAACCTTCCAGACACTGTGTGCTTCCCTGTGCTGATCACAGAAAGGCCTTGACTTTTTTTTTTGTAGAGCTAGAGTCTCACTTTATCACCCTTGATAGAGTGCCGTGGCCTCACAAAGCTCATAGTAACCTCCAGCTACCGGGCTTAGGTGATTCTCTTACCTTAGCCTCCAGAGTAGCTGGGACTACAGGCGCCTGCCACAATGCCTGGCTATTTTTTTGTTGCAATTTGGCCAGGGCCGGGTTTGAACCTGCCATCCTCGGTATATGGGACCAGAGCCCTACTCACTGAGCCGCAGGTGCCACCCATGGCTTTGACTTTTTTCTGTTGGTGGTAAAGGGTCACCACGGAGTGGCAGTCCTCTTGTCTCTTTTCAGTATTTTTTTTTGAATATGAATACTTACGAATTGTCAATATTTTGTTTATATGAATTTCTATACCTTATGTTGAAAATGTCTTTCTAGGCTTGGCACCTGTGGCTCAAGTGGCTAAGGCGCCAGCCACATACACCTAAGGTGGCAGGTTCGAATTCAGCCCGGGCCTGCCAAACAACAATGACGGTTGCAACCAAAAAAATAGCCAGGCGTTGTGGCGGGTGCCTGTGGTCCTAGCTACTTGGGAGGCTGAGGCAGGAGACTCGCTTGAGCCCAGGAGTTGGAGGGTGCTGTGAGCTGTGATGCCACAGCACTCTACCCAGGGTGACAGCTTGAGGCTCTGCCTCAAAAAAAAAAGAAAAGAAAATGTCTTTCTAAGGAATTATTTCTTCATCTGATCTCTTTTTTTTTTTTGAGACAGAACCTCAAGCTGTCCCTCTGGGTTGAGGGCTGTAGTATCACAGCTCACAGCAACCTCCAACTCCTGGGCTCAAGTGAGTCTCCTGCCTCTGCCTCCCAAGTAGCTGGGACCACAGGCACCTGCCACAATGCC